CGTTAATTTATATTTGTGGTTTTATACCAAGTGTACAGTCGCGTGAAAATGTATACGTTCACTTATTTTCGAAAATATGTAAACATTGATATTTCCAAAATATGTAACCTTGTGCTGTTTTCAAAAATATGTAAACACGACATCGTTTTAAAAATTGTATACTTTTATTTCAAAGAAAAGTAAACAAGCTACAACCTGTGTTAAACCTCGTGCTAAATATATGTATATGTATCTTTATCATAAATATTTAATACCATGCATTTTCAATAAAACGTATACAAATACAAGATTACTGTAAATAAATCCCAATCTAAGTTAAGTTTTGTTGGTAAATTTTCAATAATCTTGTACTTATTTAGAAAATAAATGTATGTGTCGTGTCTGTGTAGTTGTTGGGTATTATAATAATACAAGGCTTTGCAGAATCAAGTTGTGATTTTATTAATTGTAATCGTTCTTTTGTCTTTAATTATAAAGTTAAATCATTACATTTTATTGCAAAATAAATATAAAAGGTATTTATTTAGTATATATTATTATAATAATGCATATAGACAACATGAACATTGTCAAAACAAAGAATTTTTTTAGATGTATACATAGCATCCAAAGAAACTCGTTGTTTCGACAAACACAGATTGTATTAGGTGCGATAATTGCAAAATGTTATATCGCTATCACTTGCGACAAAAACGTGACGTCTACGAAAAAGATAGTAAAACAAATAATGCAATAACATTCGTGGTAACGCGCTATAATTTCTATATAAACGTTAAATTTTTAACGTAAGATACCACAAAACCGTGAAGGAAAGAGATAGTTTGTAACATTATAGCTCTATCTCATATGAATTTTTGTTCAATAGCAATATAGCGGAGCAATGGAACAAGATGTGTCAATAGTAAAGATATTTACCTAGAGTGCATGCCAATTAAACGTTTGAAATACGTACTATTACATCATTCGACCGGGTTAGGGCGCATTCAAATTTGCCGCTGTTAGACTCGCTGCTATCGCGCGGCGGCCGCGCGACACTCGCGCTGCTAAAGTGCGACCAAATTTTTAGTGATGTTTTATCTTTCGACTCAGTCACACGATGGATTCTGAGGAAGAAACTTTTCTTTTACCTAGTTTTTGGGGCACACACTTCACATATAGGTATTAAAAATGACTCACCTGCTACGTTTTTTTTCAGTTGTAGTTTTAGTTTCAAATTTGTCAACAAATTTTCCAGTCGATTAGAATAACTGTCGGAACTGATTGATATCCCATATTGCAGGGTGCTGTTTTGCATTCTCTATAAATTCTTCAACTCGATTTTCGTCCATCGTAGTTAATTTGAAAAATTAACATGTTACACCTCACTAACCGAGACTGCAGCGCGATAGCCGCCGCGCGGTTGCAGCGCTTCTAGAAATTGTATGAAAAGTGACAATTGCGCTGCTGCATTTTAATTTTTTTAAATTATTTTCTGCTTTTTTATTTTAAGCTTTGGAGCTGATTTTCTTGTAAACAATTCATAATATTGGAACTAAATTGAACCTTTACTTGCAAATATAAAAAAAAAGTACTACGATTTTCAAGCATTAGACTTTGTTGCAATGTTTGTGTGCAATTTTAATTTTTTTTTTGTTGATCTTATTGTTTTGGACAAATTGTACAATAGATCATTATATCAAATAAAATGGTGTTTCATTCCGATAGACTGTGAAATAGGCATGTTTTATCTCATAAATTTGTGGTCATACGTTTGTTGTATGCCAGAAATATTAGACATGTATTTATATGTTAGATATACATTGCGATAAAATGTTATGCATTAATTTTAGTACATAATGCTAAATTAATTCTCTTTTGATGTACATAATATTTTGATGTGCAATCAGTACTTTTGTTGAGGAAGTGGTATATTTGGTTGTGAAAAAACTTGCTTTTTGTGGTGAGTGGTTAAATACAACCCCTTTCGTACTAACTAGGTACTACAGGAATTAAAAGTTGTAATGGGTCGAATACTGAACTGTACTGAACTGATTGAACTGCCTCCATGGCCGAATGGTTACCATGCCGGACTGCCACGCAGAGGTCCCAGGTTCGATTCCCGGGCCGGGAGAAATAGTTGTATGACCTACAATTATTTCTCTCGTGAGTTTGGGTGTAATTTGTGGTTGTCTATGTGTGTGTCCATGGCACCCGCGACACAGGGTTTCCCTAGTGCGGGGCTATGTTGAGTGTGTGCGTTATTTATTTGCGTTATTTACTTGAGATACAACTGAAAGCATTTCACGCTTCGTGTTGCCACTAAGTATTGTTGTACCGATGGAAAGGCAAAGACAATCAGACGCAGGGTCTGCCAACCTAAGCCCAGTGTTTTACTTGGCTCATTTCCTCCAACATTTAAATCAACTGAGGAATTTATAGAGTCAGACATCAGGTCGGCGGAGTTTGATTTCCATTTTCTCAATGGCATACAAGCTGACTCTAAAACAGAAGTTATTTTGCGACGCAGATCATCGACCTCTGCGCAATCATCTCCACCAGTCAGCAAGTAATAGACATAAAAATCATGTGTGACAGTTTCCTTAACTTCCGGGTCGTCACATTCGAGACTCAACTGATTAAGGCACATTGTAGCCAGGAATGGAGCGCTGGCAGACAGTATTCAACTGAAAGATTTTTAACGGTTTGTCGGGTGTTTCACACAAATGATCTGCTGCAAATATATGTCATCTGGATGTACAGTTACCTGCCTGTACATCTTTTCCACATCTGCTTCTAGTACAAACTTATGCTGCCTAAAACGTAGCAGTATTGATAAAAGGCCGTCTTGAACAGTGGGCCCTACCATTTGCATATTATTTAACGAAACACCAGAGAGTGTAGGAAAACTGGCATGCAAAACTACTCTCATAACACACTCAATTTGGTAGTGGTACTGCTCTCACGCAAGACCCCATGATGTGGGTTAGAATGTGCATTTTCGTCGAATTCACATTCAGTCATGTGACCTAATGACACATATTCTGACACCCTTCCTCCTCCTCCATATCCTTACACATTTTATGTAGCAACGGCTGTTTAATAAGCCTACGCTCTAAAGATAAGAAATACTGCTTAGCTTTCTGGAGTTGCCTAATACCTCAGGATGTTCCTCCAGAGGAATGCGCACACAGAAACGACCGCTCTTCAAACGTGTTGTGTTATATATAACGGTGATCGTTGTACAACTTCTGTTCCTGTGAGTAATCGGACTTATTTTCGACTTCTTCCAATTGGCAAAAGCGAGTTACTTGATTTTATATGTCCTCATTAAAATTCATACTCGCAGAGGTCAAGGTAATGAAATTACACATAATAGGATACGACGAAATCGATACAAAGCCGCTATTTAATGGACCCGAAACTATCCACCCTAGTATAGTTTCAAAAAGCATCGGTTTTCCATTACCTAACTTCATCCATTGCGATAATAATAAATCCCAAAAAACGTCACTACCGATTATTAAACCGATTGAGCTTGGTGTATGGAAATTAGGATCTGCTAAACATACATCAGTGGGAATATTGAGGTACGAGAAATTAACAGGATAACACGGCACTTTGTCCGTTATCGAAGGCAAAATAAAACATTGTAAGTAAGCGGAGAAGCTCTCATCTAATGATTTTATGGGCACGCGACACCGTAATTCGTGACGAAACATTGTTAATGCCTAATATAGATTTATCTATATGGCTACAGGGTTGATCTAACTTCTTGTACATGCTTTCCGTCATAATGTGGGATGTACTGTCGCTGTCGAGCAGAGCGCGAGCAATATGTTCGCGATTGTCCGAATCATACAGTTTAATCAGTTGACAAATAATTTTTCTTTACGAAAATTAGTTCTAGTGAGATGATCGAACATACAATAACGGACCGTACTCCGAGAAGCGAAATTGTTATGGAATAGTATTTATTTTTAACCGACTTCAAGAAAAATGGAGGAGGTTCTCAATTCGACTGTATTTTTATGTATATGTTACGCGATAACTTGATACATTTGTGAACCGATTTTGATAATTCTTTTTGTAATGAAAAGAGGGTAGATACCTCAGTATTGGTCGCCTTTAAATTTGAAGAAAATAATCCACCTCTAAGGGTGACAACCTAGGGGATGGATTCAGATTCGCGCACTCACCGGCAACCAATTTCAATAAAACTTGTCAAATAGATGTAGGTACTTCTATAAACTTTTAAGATCCGTTAAAACGTTAGAATCATCTCTAGCCGGGGCTGGTACTTCCATAGATTCCATACAGAAATTCGTTAGGTCCGCTGGTTCGTTCCGTGGCTTAGTTGGCAAAACGTCTGGCACGGTTTACTACAAGACATCGGTTCACGCCACGCGTTTGAGCACGCCAAGTCTCCCGGTATTGTGCCGCCCTCATCCAGCCACTGCCGGCCACCTTGCTCAGGTCGTCCGTCCATCTTGCCGCAGAACGTTGCACACTACGTTTACCTTGACGTGCTCGCCACTCCAGAAAAAATCTGCTCCATCGGCGATCAACCCTCCTGTAGACATGGCCAATTGCCACTTAAGCTTACTGATTTCGCGAGCTTTGTCGGACACTTCAGTTCTCTGACGTATAACCTCTTTAGGGATTCGGTCCATCAGAAAAACCCCAAGCATAGCTCGCTCCATATTGACGAACTGCAATTTATATAAGCTACTCTAATGTCTAGTGATGATAACAAATTAATCAGCTAGAAGGCGCTTATTGCGCAATTTTATGGGTAGTACAGGCTATTCTTTTAAAAATTAGTAAATTATTGAATCCTGTTTTTTTAACTATTATTTTTATATAACCTTGTTATTGTCTCTCTTTACTTTTGTTCCTCTTTATTTTTTTAGTAGGTATGTATGAATATTAAGAAAAACTCATGTAAGAATTTATGAAATGATGATACTTATATATTTATCAATTGTCTCTGACAGCAACAATACTTATAAACTATGAAAGTTGAATTTAATTATCGATATGTTTCATAAAAGTATTCATGTACTTATGTTCTCTTTAAGTTATAAACATTTCAAACAGAATCATTAAATATACATAAAATAAAATGTAAAAATCAAACAACATATAAAAACTTGTAAAATGGGATATATAGATCATGATATAGGTACATATTAAATTTTGCCTAGCGTGACTGCCAGTGGAGCATTGCACAGATGAGTGTGAACAATAGAATTATTCTCGATTCACTCACAGATGAACTCCCGTTGATATATGTCACCTGTAAAAAAATTTTCGTTCTATAAAATTAAAATAAAACTTATTGACCTTTTTTAAGACTATCTCAGTAATAGAAAAATCTGCGTTAAAATAGGTTCTCACGTCAGTGATACCGAGTATATTACATATGGCGTACCTCAGGAAAGTGTTCTAGGACTTGCACTCTTTTTAGTCTATGTAAATGAACTCGGCAAACTGACACTTCAAAATTCTCAAATGTCTACCTATGCAGATGACACCACCATCATTGTGCATGGGCATTCTTGGTCAGAGGTAAAGGAACGAGCAGAGTGTTCCGTACGGATAGTAAAGCAATTTAATTTTATTTGTTACGCCTAACTGAACACGGCCGCCTAAGATACAATCTTTTGAATAGTTTAGAAGACAGAGTTTCTTAAATTTGGTACGCCTTCTTTTATATTCTGTGTTTGTGTCTTTATAATCATGTATATAATTTTGTATTTGCTGCTTTGTAAAATTGTAAGGCGAAAGTGTTAATAAAAATATTATGAAACTGACCGTAGTATTAAGCCAGTCACTATATCTGGCCACACGCATGAACACGCCGGGGATGCGTGGGTGTCCGCATTCATGTCCCCATGACACAATTCCTACCACAATATCGTTAATGAAATGCACTGGACCGCCAGAATCGCCACGACAAGCACCCGCCGGAACTGGAACACATTTTTAAACAAGAACACATTTTATCTTCAACAGAGCTCTTGCATGTCTGAATGCCTGAATTAAGTTATGTAATATATTAATATATATGGGGAAATCTGCAACCAAGATACAAGGAAAGTGTCTTAGGAACCATTAAGTATTTTTTTGCTAAAACAATTTTGGCGTAGTAGCAGTAGAGCTCTGAGTGGCACTGCAACTGTTATGGACAGGCGTGTAGCTTACCATCAGGCGCACGACTTATTCGTCCCGTCACTTGTTATGAAATTATGATTTCATAATGATATTATGAAAAAAGTCATTTTGAAGGTCAAGCGTGAGTTGTCCATAAAAATGAATAAAATTTATCAAAGTTTGTTTTTAGTGCTAATTGACTCAATGTCATGAAGGGATCATTTCATAGTATGGGATGAAAGAAGTCGAGACAGCCGAAGTTGATCCCATTTCTTAAATTATTTTTCATGCAAAATTAATAAAATTGAGTATTTTTTTTAATGTTATGTTGTAAGACTCAGTTCCTTATAAGTATGATTTCATTGTATGGGAAGAAAAATCGAGACAGCAGAAGTTGGTCAAATTTAAATAAATTTTTTATCATACAAAATGAATAATATAATAATAATAATAATAATAAATTTCTTTATTTCGGACTAAGTCCATAAGGGTTAGTAACAAAACACTTAAAAAACACTTAAAAATAGGGTTAGTATTACAAATTGCTTATTTTACAATTTATTATTATAGGCCACGAAACCAATGTGCATCCTAGACCAGTGATCTAGGAAGCAACCCTGTACACGGTTTGCAATTATACTTAGGAGGCTGTTATCACCGCCCCGAATCCTGCGCAACAAAGAAGCCGCCCTTTTTCGCATGATAGCTGAAAAGCCATCTAAGCGAGGCACGGCGAACATTCCTGATGCACTGCAAAATCGAGGCAGCTTCAACAGCATCCTGAATAAATTATTATACAACACACGGAGGGAGCTTTGAGCTTTTTGTGTGTAATTGACCCATAGGCTACATGTATAAAATGACTGACAGTACGCCTTGAACAACATAAGTTTGACGTCGTCAGTACACCTAGCAAACCTACGAGCCAACATGTTGCCCCTCACTGCTAGCGCCCTACGCTCCCTTACAACATCTAAATCGTCCTTTAAAGTCTCAGAGACCCAGTGCCCTAGGTACTTAAATTCGGTGACTCTTTTAAGAGGAGTGCCACACAGAGTAACTTCGGGCACAGTGCACAGGTTTTGCTACCCGATTTAAAAACTAGCAACTCACTCTTACTCGCGTTGTACTTAAGACCATGAGCCTCTGCATATTTTGTACATATGCCTAACAATTTCCGAAGAGTACTTATTGAGGGACTCAGCAACACCATGTCATCCGCGTAACTAATATTATTCACTATTTTTTTTTTATATTATTCAGCATTATAGTATATAGAACTAAATTATTTATGTGTGATAGTCTCACGATTCACTGAGCGACGAAAGTCAGTCAGTCGGTTTTCAGACTGCCCCCAACTTCAGTCAATAAACACAAGTTTGCATTTTGAGCCAGATCAGTAAACTTAGAGGACTATTACAAAATAGACATTTTAAAAACCAACCATTGAGTTTAGGTTTTTGTCATTGTTACACATAGGAAATGAAACTATTTTTCGCAATTTAAATCGCGTACATTTGTTTTTTCAAACAACTGTAGTTGACTGTAGTCAATCGTGACCATTGGACCTGTAAAGTGCCCGAAACATAGGTTTGTTTGAAAAAACAAATGTGTATACACGATTTAAATCAGGAAAAATAGTTTCATTTCCTAACCAACCATCGCCTAACGATAAAATTTTAATTATTAAAAGTAAAAATAAAAAAATCAACATTTTACTCGTACAGGGTCAAGAGCACGTCAAGCTTTGACACTTAAAACTTAAATCTCACTCTATTTTTATGGGCAGGCGTGTAGCTTACCATCAGGCACACGACTTGTTCGTCCCGTTACTTAATGTCATAAAAAAAAAAAAAAAAATGCCGCTTACGATAAGAACAGTCCATAGTACAAAGTGTCAAGCTTAATGTGCTCTAGACTGTACCAAACTGAAACAATAATTTTCCGTGTAATTGGAAATCTGACTGACGTAACTAAATTAGTGAATATATTGTCTATTGCCACAAAAAACAAGTCTGGTCTAGGGGTGTCTCTTTCTGTTTGGTTTGGTTTCAATTGATGTTTTACTGTGTATTATATTTATAAGGAGCTAGTTTGTCGTATAGACTAAAAGAAATTTCAAGGTATCTAAGTGTAAATAAGGCCAGACGGCACTCACCTTCGTAATCTAGCATACCAGCGCACATCATGTTGTCAGTGATGTTGTATGTGTCTACGAGTAGTTCGTACCTCTCAATGCATACTGTCCGATTAACCTTCAGCAGAACCACCTGCCTCAGAACAGACGACATTTGGGTTCCAGTCACCTAGGATATAAAAAATTGGGATTAACAAAATACAGTAGGTACTTAGCAACTTTGAGAGTGTTTGTGTTTTTAAATACTGAATTAAATAATGCAGGTCCTAAATATTGTTGTCCATCGTTATCACGTTATGCCATGAGTTGTCCTAGGCACAATATTATGTCATCTTCCATTCATCTTTGTTTGTCACCTTCGTCTCGTTATTAAACACTTTCGCCCACGCACACAATCCATCCATCTTTCTCTTTCTTTAAGGCCATCCGTATTATTAATTAATATCTGCCATGTGATTTCATTCCCCTATCTCCGTATTGCATGTCCATATCACGATAAACTGTTACATGGGACATACTGAAAGTTCCTGAACCTGGCCACTTATTAAAATTAAAAAAACAAATACGAAATTTGAAAAGGGAACTCTCTGTGAGTAATTACTTTTTCTTTATGAGCTATAAGTCGCTATTACAATAAATTTCAGTTGCGAAAACTTTTCGATGTGGTTTTTAAGTCAACAAGGGAGTTGTCAGGTACTTCAATTGGCATTTGGTGATGAAGCTCTATGTCGGAGCTCCGTGTATTCGTGGTTCAGTGAATTTTGATGTAAACGTGATCATCTCCATTCCATGACGAAGGTCGGCCTGCGACTGCGGTTACCGACAACTGATTGAAACAAAAAATTTGTTGTCAGCAAATTTGTACTGTATTAGGCATTGGAATGAGCCAGGTGTGAAAGATATTGCATGTGCATCTGAAGGTTCGGAAAATTTGCACTCGATAGATACCGCATGTGGCGCCGCAAAATGATGAAAAAGTTTAATGACAATCACTGGCTGTACATAATATCGTGACAGGTGACTGAACCTGGGTGTACTGCTTTGAACCGGAAAGAAAAAGCCAGTCCGCAGAGTGGGTCTTTCCTTTTGAAGATTTGCTGACGAAAGTTAAGAAAAGTGGGAGGACTGGTAAGAAAATTGTTGCTTCTTTCTTCGGCAACTCGGGACATTACACTACTGTAGCGCTTGAAGACCTAAGGGCAGTAACTGTAGATTGATATGCAAACACCTGCTTGCCCAGAGTGTTAGAAAAAATTCGCGAAAAACGTCATCAAAGCTTATGGGATGGTTCTGCTAAATACCAACTGGCCACATTGGATTTAATAGACAAGCATGCTAAGAGACTCGGAACTAGTAGAGGCGAAGCTGCAGAGCCTTGAACACCGCCGTCGAGTTGCCAGCTCGGTATTCTACAGGATATATCACGGAGAGTGTGCGATGAAATTGCATAATTTGATTCCGCCTTCCCCTTTCCATCATCGGGAGACTAGACGTGGGCGGGGGTTGCACCCCTATGTTGTGGATATTCCCCGGATTCGCACGAAGTGTTTTGCTTCCACGTTCATATGGCGAACGGCTATGGAGTGGAATTCCCTGACTGCAGACTTATTCTCCGAACGCTATAACTTGGACCTTTTCAAGGCGAGAGTGAATAGGCATTATTTAGGTGTGCATGCTACATCCTCGACCTCATCGTCATTTTCCATCAGGTGAGATGGAGGTCAAATGCGCACTTATTTTTTATAAATGTGTATTCGCCACCAACATGGTGCATTGCAAATCTTGCCTGGCGAAAAATTGTGCGAATTAATCTAATGCCGGTACTTTCCATCTAGATTCTTATAATTATGTAAGTAATATGTAACAAGTGAAAAGCAAATAGTAAACGTAAGCACTGCCGTCGTTAGTGGAAAGTACGCTTTTGACAAAAACTCCAAAACGAGAAAAGAGAAAGTAAAGAAATGAAATTAAAAAAATATCTACTTTTCTCTTGCGATAACTTCATACCTTATCCACTTAGGGAAGAATAAAAGTAGTGACAGATCGGCCTTTTTTACTGATTACGGCAGTAAGTATGCATACCATTTTTTTTTAAATATCACATTCTCACTTTCAACTATCGGCGGCAGAGTATTAATTGTAACTTCATACGCCAAATACAAAAACTGATCAACTTACCGACATGGTTCCCCATCCAAGTTTTACCAATGGAGTATCATCAAGCACGTCATCATCCTGAAATTTTCAGATATAATTTGGATATGATTTATGTCTCAAACCGATTTTTTTTCGTTCCACACAATGAAATAATCCCTTCATGAAACTGAGTCGATTAGCACTAAAAAAATTTTTGATCAATTTCATTCATTTTATGGACAACTCACGCTTGACCAAAAAATTAATTTTACCAAAATTATTTTCACAAAAAAAGACTCAATGGCTTCTAAGACAGTTTCCTTGTACCTTCTATTTACTATTTACTAGTAACTGCGTCGCAGAGCGCAGAACCAGCGATTCCTGTGCCGGGAGAAATATTTGTATGACCTACATTCATTTCTCTCGTGAGTTTGGATTTAGCTTGTAGCTGTCTATGTGTGTGCCCATGGCACCCGTGATATAGTATTCCCTAGTGCGGGCCTATGAGTGTATGCGTTATTATTATTATCTATATATTATCCAAAAAACACTCCATATAAATAAATTTTATTACGCATAAGTATTTTACCGAAATTGCGAAAAAGTGGTAATTGTTACCTACTGTGGGATAGCTGACAGCAGACTTGTTATTCACGAATTCAGAGGAGTTTTCACACCTTGAAATCTAAAGAAAAATGTTGGCTGTTGACCGTTTCAGCGCATGTCCTTTTGGGATATTCATGCTTCGATGTGACAAACATTAGCGTTCACGATTTATATGTCTAATGGACCATTGAGTAAACGTGAACGTAAACGAAACGAATCAATAATAAGTAGACCGTAAAAAGCAATCATGTCGTATTCCAGAACTCTACTCAATTCTCAAGTCAGGACTTGAGGGAAAAATTCCTAATCTTCGATTTGATTTTAGAGGGGTATATCCACTTTAAAGTTAAAAATAAAATATTGAATGAGTAACTAAATATAGATATAATAAAGATATATTCAAGCATAGACATTAATCAGAAACATAAAACAATAAACTCAGTCAACCGTGACCATGGGACCTGTAAAGGGCCCGAAACGTCGGTTTGTTTGAAAAAACAAATATACGCGATTTAAATCCGGAAAAATAGTTTCATTTCCTATGTGTAACAATCGCGAAAACCTAAGAACTCGATATTAAACAATAAAGTTTCCTCGATAGATAAAACTCACGAAATGACCTCTAATTTTCACATTTTTTCGATTTATCCTCGAAATGCATTATACAGGTTATTAGGACAAAAATTAGATAATTAATTATATTTATGCATGATCGACAACTGTCACTACGGATTTTTTTTAATCCCTTTAGTCTTAGAGTTATTCCGCTAAAACGAATTTGGTACTTTTAATGCGCAAAATTCAACATCTCCTGTCGCATGTCACGCGAACTTCAGGCATATATTTGTTTTACAAATTTGGGCGGAGCCAACGTCAAAACTTTTTTGGAATGCTCCCTCTTAAAGCACTAGAAACTGCAAATGAGGTGGGAAAGCACTTCAAAACTGCTTTTTATTGGCGTTATAAAACTTTTTCTACAGGTTACGAACACAGACATGTATTGAAATAAAATCAATCTGCGAAAGATAAAAGATCTGCGACACAAACTTCTCCTATTACTAGAAGTTATATAATCTTCATCAATAACCTAGGATGACTCACTCATGCGCACGGGCCAAGGGCTGTTGCAACCCTGAACTTTATTTTTTTATGACACCAAGTGACGGGACTAACAAGTCGTGGGCCTGGTGGTAAGCGACACACCTCTCCGTAACAAAAAGGACTTTAAATACAAACATAGAAAGTCCGTTTCCAAAAATAGGTCCAGTATGATAAACTGCCTCCGTGGCCGAACGGTTACCATGCCGGACTGCCACGCAGAGGTCCCAGGTTCGATTCCCGGGCCGGGAGAAGTAGTTGTATGACCTACAATTATTTCTCTCGTGAGTTTGGGTGTAAGTTGTGGTTGTCTATGTGTGTGTCCATGGCACCCGCGACACAGGGTTTCCCTAGTGCGGGGCTATGTTGAGTGTGTGCGTTATTTATTTATTTATGCAATAGTATGAATATCTGGCCGCCTCCTTATTTTCGCTCGTGGAGCGGGAACACGGTAGCTATAGTTTTTCTCAATGTCAATACGTGTCTGTCTTCTGATATAACTAAAATTTATTTTTACATTGCAATATTATATAATCATGTTCTGCAGTACCAAATTACCTGATAGGGTATATAGGCTAAACCGATTTTGGGGCCCAGAGTGAACTGTGAAGACGTTCGCAAGACAGCGATGTCATTATCACGTAGGGGATTGTTATATCCCTCATGTACAATATATCGCTCATGTACAACTAGACGTAATACTGGGATAATTGTCCCGCCTGTGGACAAACATAATAATCGTTAGTTAAAAAAAAACAAAAGAAGATTTCTTATAGATGGCGATAGGGCAAAAAAGTCGGAAAAAAACAAAATAAAGATCTGCAATAAGCACGTGGAAAAATTCATAAGGTCGGCTGATCGTTCCGTGGCTTAATTGGCATAGCATCAACACGGTTTGCCAGAAGACGCTGGTTCGAATCCAGCCGTATCGAAGGATTTTTTTCTTAGTGTGCGATCTTTGTATTAATTAAATCAAAACAAATCACTTTTAGTTGTATTTAAAATATCGGATCATGGAACTCAAATGGTGGAACAAGACATCGACTGATAGGTAGGTCACCGAGGCAAAAGAAGCGTCGAGCTCCCTGTTGCAAGGTGGGTCGACGACATAGTACGCGTCGCGAGTCGTCAATAGATGCGGCTAGCATGGGACCGTGGTGAATGGCACAAACTTCGGGAGGCATATACCCAGCATTGGGTGAAATCAGACGGTGGATGACGATGGATGATGATGTATTTAAAAAAAATTTACCCGAATTATTGTCCGTGGTTCCAGCGCGTACATTCAAATCATCGGTGCTAATTACTTGGGTCCTGAAACAAGAAATTGATAACTTTATCGAGACGTATAAATCCCACTTAGAGCATATTAAGTCTTGTTTTAGGAGAAGGTTTATGCTCATTACATTGTCCCGAAGCGGGTTATGGGCTAGCATTTTTTTATGATACCATGTGACGGGACGAACACGTCATGCGCTTGGTGGTAAACGACACCCCTGTCCATGACAGTTACAGTGTCACTCAGAGCTATAAATCATAAAGATCTGAGGGGCACTGCCATTGCGCTCGTTACCCGTAAGTTGCCAAATCCTATGTGCCTGTAATTTTACCAGCACTCTTGCCATTGAGTATATAACCAGAAATAGAGACGAAATAAGGGCCACACATTCCTGGTTATTCATTAGTCATACATCACTTATAAACATCCACTCTCGTTTGCACTGAAATATAGAAGCGCCAACAACTGACCTGTATGTACGTCTCCGTATATTCCAAAAATATTCTGTATTTATTGTAATAAAGATAATATCTCTAACAATGGCGTGCTGTTTAATTTGGTGGTGTGGAGAAAAATAGCAAAACATCCAATTACAAAACAAACTGAATCAAATTTCATCGGTAATTAAATATTCAATATGCAATTTTTGTCCATTATAGCAAAGCTCAAGATAACTGGTCGATTTGAAGTGAAGCAATCGACGTCACCCGTCTATTGTTTCGAATTGATCTATTGGTGCAAGAAGTTATGAATCAAAACATGAAGGATATCTTATCAAGGATGCAAGAAAGCATTGGCAAAATGTTTGATAAGGAATTGAAACCCATAAAAGATGAATTGTGTGAGATAAAGGAATCCATGAACTTCATTAATACTCAGTACGAAGAAATGAAGAAGGACAATGAAGCTTGTAAATTCAAAATATTGGAATTGGAAACTAAAAATGAGGAATTAAATATCACTGTTAATGATCTCAACATACGAGTGAATCAAATGGAACAACAAACGCGACATAATAATATTGAACTTCAGTGCGCACCTGAAAATAAGAATGAAAACCTAATGACAATCGTTTCTGAGCTTGGTAAAGTGGTCGGTTGTCAACTGAAAGAGAGTGATATCTTGCACTGCTCACGCACTGCAAAATTGAATCGTGCTTCCCCACGTGCTCGCTCCATAATTGTACAACTGGCGTCGCCAAGATTGCGCGACCAGCTTCTTGCGGCGACTATTAAATACAATAAAGGAAAATCATTTGAAAATAAATTAAATAGCACACTGCTTGGAATGACTGCAAGTCGTACACCGATATTTGTTGCTGAACACTTGTCTCCCACGAACAAAGCTCTTCATGCGGCAGCTAGAAGAAGGGCGAAGGACATAGGGTATAAGTTCGTCTGGATTCGGAATGGCAGAATCTTCATGAGAAAAAGTGATGAAGCCAATTATATTTTAGTAAAAAATATGGACATGTTAAAAAATATTATTTAACGTTCTTTTATTATATATTTTAAATATAATACAGCTATTATGCTTGTATGTAAACTTATAATATTCAAAATTCGATACCTTAAAATTATATTATCAAAATACTCGCGGCCTAAAAACAAAAACACATAATTTTTATCAACAAGTACTTTGTAACGACTATGATGTAATTATCCTCACTGAAACGTGGTTAAATGATTCTGTTTCTTGCAATGAGCTTTTTGACGAAAGGTATATTGTTTACAGGAGAGACAGGAGTGATGCGGAACTCGCTCTTAAGAAAGAAGGGGGTGGGGTTCTAATAGCAGTTTCGAAACGGATAAATTCTAAACGCATGGTTGGTTGGGAATCAAAATTAGAAGATCTTTGGGTCACTGTTGAAATACCAATATCACATAATGTTCGCCAAATTGCTCTCTGTGTAGTGTATCTGCCACCTTCAGTACATAGTTCCATGTCAAGTCACTTTGTGGATAACTTTAATGAAGTGCTTAAAAAATTCGATCGTCATTGTGTGTTCGGCGATTTTAATTTGGGTGGTATTGATTGGAACTTGTTAGGTGACACTTCGTGCGAATACAGAGTTCCAGGTTTGTGTCAACCTTTAATTGACTTGTTGAATGTCAATGAATTGAAGCAACATAACTTTGTAGTAAATAAATCTGATAGAATTCTTGATTTGGTGCTGTCTAATTTGCCAATTTGCAACGTGGGTCAATCTCATAACACTCTCAGTACTATTGATCCATTACATCCTCCTCTAGATATTGGTATCTCATGTATTAGTGAGCCGAAGCTTCCGTTTAATAGAGAAAGTCTAAAATTGAACTTTTACAGAGCAGATTACGAGAATATTCACAAAGAGCTTCGAGAGTGTAATTGGGACGAGATGTTTGAGGGTTCTGATAATGTCAATGATATGCTTCGAAAATTTTATGATGCTGAAGGCGCTATTATTAAAAAATTTGTGCAAAAACAAAAACTACACAAATCACGATACCCTCCTTGGTTCGACCGAAACTTAATACGATCTTTGAAGGAAAAGTACAATCTCAGGCGCCGTTTTAAAAAATATAAAAACCCTATGGATGAATATCAGTTGAGGCTATTGAGCACACGCTGCACGCATCTAGCTAGTAACTGCTATAATAAATATATCAGCGTATTAGATAGTAATATTTCCAGGAACCCTAAACTCTTTTGGACCTACATTAAAGCTAAGCGTGGTGGTACCAGTTCCTATCCAATTTCTATGACCAATGGATCGGTTACAACCTCAGACGGTGATCGCATTTGTGAGTTATTTTCTTCGTACTTTGCATCTATGTATATCGATGATGATGATAGTCATTCCCAAAATTATGATCTTACTGATTATTTGAAAGAGAAAGAAAATTACTACCAACATCTAATGCCACCGGTTATAGACTATAAAACTCTCCTGACGAAACTGAAGAGTCTTGAGGAGAACAAGGGTGCAGGTCCTGATGGGATTCCACCAATATTTATTAAAAAGTGTGCTGAGCATTTGGTTGCCCCTCTTTTAACTATCTTTAATATGTCATTACGAACAGGTGTGTTTCCTATGGAGTGGAAAAAAGCCAGAGTTGTCCCTATACATAAATCAAGTAGCAACGATGTAATAGCAAACTATAGACCAATCTCTATTTTGTCAACTTTTGCTAAAATCTTGGAATCACTTATCTGTCCTTTTATACAACGTCATTTTAAACAAATTTTGAGCACTAATCAACACGGCTTTGTTCCTTTTAGATCAACATGTACTAATTTAGTAGACCTCTCTGAAACCTTGATCGAAGCATTGGATGCTCACAAACAAGTTGACGTAGTATATACAGATTTCAGTAAGGCTTTCGATCGGTTGCCTCATAACCTATTGTTGAAAAAGCTATCAGCCTATGGTATTTTCGGTGCATTATTGAGATGGATAAAATCTTATTTAGAAGATCGAACTTTCTCTGTAGTGGTAAATGGGTATCACTCTAATTCACGGAAAATAACATCTGGTGTGCCGCAAGGATCTCATATTGGTCCAATTTTATTCAATATATTTGTTAATGATATACCTGGCATAATCAAGTCATCTTATACGTATATGTACGCAGATGACCTAAAAATATGTAGAGTTATTGACACAATTCAAGATTCAATGATGCTTCAGGGAGACCTTGATGTGCTTGTCGAATGGTGTCGGACCAATAAAATGGACCTTAATTCTAAAAAATGTTTTTTTCTGCGGTATGGGCGAAAGAGAAATTATGTTACATATCAGTATAGTATAGATCAAACTAAAATTAGTGAGATGGAGCAAGTTCGAGATTTAGGAGTACTGTTTGATAGAAAACTAACGTTTATACCTCACATGGAACACGTTGCGAACCGTGCGTCAAGAATGCTGGGTTTTGTGCTTAGAAACAGTAAAGGTTTGCGCAGTAACAAAACTAAGATACTTTTGTATAATTCCCTAGTGCGAAGTATTTTGGAGTATTGTTCAGTTGTATGGAGACCTCATTATGCAACCCATTCTCTGCAACTCGAGCGTATTCAAAAAAGGTTCATGCGTCATTTAGTATTCTCTAATGGGATCTCAAAGAAGAAACTACCATCTTATATGACGCAATTGAGACATTTCCGAATGAGTTCCCTAGAAGAAAGGAGGATAACGATTGATTTATCTTTCGTGTCCAAAATATTTACCCATAAAATCGACTGCCCTCAATTACTAAGTAAATTTAACATTCGTGTCCCAGTAAGATACCCTCGGAATAAAGTAACTCCTCTATCTCCACCGCTTCGAAAAACAGTGTTCGGTTCAAATTCTCCCATCTCCAGACTGTGCAAATTGGTAAATGAATATAGTGACCGATTAGATATTCACAATGACTCACCTAACAAGATTCGCTCTATTATAATAACTCCCAATTAATTACAATTAAATATACATTTTTACCCCCGTAGTTACTTTTTTACTTAACAAATATTTCCTACAATTATGATGTTCTTGTTGTAATCCAATGTTTCATTGCGTCTTTACTTGTATTTTTTTTTTATTATTATTATTATTTTATTTTTATTTTATTTAGTTGTTGTTATTAACTTGATGTAGTTTCAAGTTGTCAATTGCATTGTCCTTCATGTAAAATTGCAAGTGGTATTTACCTGTAATTGTTTGATGCATTTAGTTTGTAATTTTTTTTTTTTTTGCTAGCATAAGTTCCTATAATTGTAACAATGTACTCAAGCGTTGGTAAATCTTAAATAAATAAATAAATAAAATTCGGGCTGGCCAACCGGAGCGCAGTCGTCACAGTAATGATATGGTAGAATAGTTTTCAAACAAATTAAATGACATTTCGTCTCTATTTCTGGTTATATACTCGATGATTCTTGCCCTTCAGAACCAAAACGCAGTAATGCTGACATTACTGCTTGGCTGCAGAAATAGGTAAGGTGGCAGTACTTCCCTTGACGAACTATTTCCCAAGGAGCTCTACTGCCACTAAAAAGCATTCATTTGCGATGACTATGTTCGTCTCTGACACCAGCGTCATAGTAAAAAACCTGGTGAGTACTGGAGTGCGGAACTCCAATTCGTACTTTCATTTCGGAAATCACAGTTTTGAAAATTTTGAGGGTTTCCTCAAATTTTTGGCATTTTCGAGACTCGAGACTGACGTTTTCAGTCTCGGGAATATCGAGACTATATTTATGTTTTATAGGAGAATCCAGTTTCAAATCGATGTTGTTGTCACCTATTACGAGGAAATCATAGTTACGCTCATTAACATTGTGAAGCAATTTGTGTATTTCCTCAACAAATAAGTGCCTGCAATTACTTGGTGGACGACAGACTGCGTACAAATGAATAGAATAGTTGTTTTGTGTTGTAATTACTCCATGTAGACATTCAAAAGATTGAGTATTTGTGTTGATTTTCGCGAATTTATGTTTTTTGTTTACAAATACAATGATCCCACCACCTTTTCTTGTTTTTCGTAGTGCAGTTTACATGTCATAGCCCTGCAAGTGATACAAACATCTTATGTTGTCCGAGATATTCGCCTCGGTAATTACTACTATGTCTAGGATAGGTTTACAAGAATAGACCACTTGCTCCAAGGAAGATAATTTTTTTATCATTGACCTGATGTTAACAAGCACGCACAAGAGGTTAATATTGTTACTAGGAATATTGTTTACAAAAAATTGTAGGTTAGGACAGTCAAAACTTTCGTACATATCATCACTTAATACAGATTCTTCCATTGTTAACTATTAGATATGTCGCTGATTGAATATTATTTAAGTAAAATTACGGTGTAGAATACTTAAGTAGATTATTGTAGTTTTTTGATATCCTCTAGGCTTATGCTTTGTGAAATTATAATTGGAATATTAAAAGTAGAAAAATACAGGAGTAGAAAAATATCTAATGCAACTTAATGACTTTAGAATGCAGTAATTAGAAGCTAATACCAGGGGTTATGCGTTGTCAATTTAATCACATAGGTAGTTTAAAAATTATGGCCCTTTCAAAATTAATAACTCTTAGTAATATAAATAAGTAATATGTATAAAATTACAATAAATTATTAAACTCCTAAGGACGCATTTCCATTATGTCGTAACGTTTTATTTGTCGTTGGACAACTGTCGCGTCTAGCCTGTTCCCATATCACGACTATCGTGACTGTGTCGTGGACGTTTATTTTATCGTTGAACGAATGTAGTGTCTAGCTGATCCCACTAGCTTGTGACGACAATTTATCGGTTTACAGTAGGCGCTTTGTTGTTAGCACGACAGAATCGTTTGAAGCTGCTATTATGTGGCATTTTTATCGCGACGTTTTATTTATCATCAGACGACTCTCGTTCTAGCTCTTCCCATTGTCTCAACAGTCTGTCGTCGTAACGTCAAAAAAGTCGTTAACGACAGTTAATCGTGTTGTACTATACTATATATGAACAACTTCATTTAAATATACAAGCCACGACACTTTAAACTGTACGACTATTTGTCGTCACGACATAATGCGATTGCGACTTTGGTGGCGCCTAGTAGGGCTGATCTTTTGAATTTCGTGTGACTGGTGATAGTGAACTTCTTTTCTGAAGAGGCCTTTGTTTAAGTAATAGACTCGATATTCTTAAATTAGCCTCATCTTACTTACCTTTCAAAGAAGCATCGCGCTGCGGAAAGAACGTTTTGTACTGTGATCAGTGTTCCTCCACATACTAGAGTCCCTCCCGCAATTATCTGTAAAATTATATTAGTTTAAATTAAATATCGTTTAATTAGACGTTTACACACGTCGAATATGTTGAGAGGCTTCCGTTTCTCGCTCAATATATCTAAACAATAAGAATTTATATAGAGTAAAATTAAGGAGTTTGCATTTTAGAATATGCTGTTTCTAAATAGGCCACAATTAAAAATATTTTATTTCATAAGTACCTAAGCAAATAACACTTGAAATCTTCAATAAATTAATTAAGCACATTCATAA